GAGAGTGGGCGAGGATGGCTGTGACAATGTTGCAGGAGTTGATCCTGCTGCTGTTGTTGTTGGTGTTCGTGTTCGTGTTCATATTGGTATACTTAGTTGTTGTTAGAGCTGTTAGGCGCAGCGTAGCAACTCACGATCATCGGCAGCTCTGCCTCTCACTATCCCTCACTATCTCTCTCTCGCTCTCTTTCAATCTTTGAGCCTATCTATTCTATCTATCTATCTGTCTCACCTGCTTGGCCTTATCAGGGCAACCGATAAGCTGCCTGGGCTTGCACTTTGTTGTTGCTGTCAGCTGTTCTATGCAGCCAGCAACAACAACAACAACAACAGAGCAACAGAGCTAGCGGCGGCATCGCCCATCGGCATCGACATCGACGTTCCATTGTCGCCGCCGCCGTCGTCGTCGTCGTCGTCGTCGTCGTCGTCGTCGTAGTAGTCGTCGTCGTCGTCGTCGTCGTCGTTGTCGTCGTCAGTCCGGCACAAAAAAATTCAAATCAGTTCCCGTCGCGTCAACGGCAACGTCGAGAGTTTTAAGCGTCGAGCGCCCGTTGAACCTTTTTTCTTGCTGTGTTACGTAGTGTTGTTGTTGTTGTTGCTGCGCGCGTGTGCATGGCTCTGTATGCGTGCGTGTGCGTGTGTGTGTGTGTGTGTGCTGCCAAAAATAACAATAAATCAAATCAAATACATAACAAACAAAAACTGAAATACACACCAATTTTGCGTAGTGCAGTTTGAGCAACAATCCGTTAATTTATTTAGTTCGATTTTTGTTTTTTTTTCTGTTTTTTTTTTTTTTGCGCAAATTTAAATTTACAATGGTAAAATTCTAAATATTGCTGTCCCATTTGCTGCTGTTGTTGTTGTGGTTTTCGGAATTCATTATAACAAAAATGCTGGCCTCATATTTATGGCACTTTCTGGGTATGTACTAGCATAAAAAATGTATTTTGTTGCACAGCAGCACCCGCATTTCCATTTGCATTCGTCATTTGCGTCCACTTTCATTTTTAACTATGCGCTTCGATGTTTGTGAAAAGTGTGCATTAGAAAAATTGCATAAAATTTGAAACCGAAATACACCTGGTAAAGGTAGACAACAGGAGAGAGCGAGAGTAAGTGAGAGGGTGAGAGAGAGAGAGGAAGAGATTAAAGAATTTTTAAATGTAACTACAATTTTTCAATAAATTAAATTCACACGAAAGACTATTAAGTTATCAAAAAAAAAAAAAAAACAAAACAAATTATGTACACTAAAACATTTTTAGGGGAAAGCGAACCAAAATCCAGGCATTAAAATGCAAAATAAAATTAAGATGTTTTCATTTTTTAGTGTGGGTGCTGCGTGTGATTAACTGAGTGTGCTTGTGTGTGTGTGTGGGTATGTGTAAAATTATTCGCGGTCAAAGTTTTAATGTAAATATTATTATTTGCTACAGTTGCTATTTTTAGCTGAGCTTATTAGCAGCCTCCAATGAAGCGCACTTCGAAAACTTGAATAAACTTTTTTTATGATTCAGTTAGCGACTCCCCGACGAATTCTTTATATATCAACCTGCATTTGCGTGTGTGTGCGTGTGTCTGTGTGTGTAACTATCTCTATATACCTTTAAGTGTGTGCATATTCTGTTGGCTGCTTCAACGAGTCGTATACTTAATTTGATTAAGTCCCGTCTACAGCGACGTTGTTGCATTCACTTTTTGTTAACTCTTTTGGCGGCTGCTGCTGCTGCGATAAGATTATCAATGCGAAGAAACCAAATTCAAAATCAAAATCCGCCCTTGTCTCGTGACTTGCCGAGCAATTTTCGTTTTTTCTGTTTTTTATCTTTTATTGCGAATAGGCAACAAGCATTTTGAAGTATGCTTTGCACTTTGCTGCGGCCACCCGGCCAAAGACAATATAAACACGGAAAACGGTTCTATCAAAGTTATTTGCTTACCAACCGATCGGCTTGAAAATCATTTTCAAAGAACTTTGTGAGAATTAATCAAAAAAATTCGCTAAATCCGCGACTGTTGGCTGATAAATGCGAGTCAAAGGTTGCCAAAATATATAAGGTGTAAGCTCATTCGCAAAGATGTTCAAGAAATTCTATTTGAGACGTGTTACACAATTTTCGCAAAACGCATTCCTACTCGATGGAAAATGCAGATCAAAGAACTTTTGATGCCGGCTATTGCGATATCAGTCGCTGCTCCGCTCTGCTGCAAGGGTTGCTTACTTATATAATATATTATGCATATGTATGGTAATCCTTGGGACTGTGCTCCTTTGGCACAGAAACGTCATACGCGAATAATTCTGCTTTCCGCCAAGCAACGTACACATCCTGCTTGCCATCAAACTCGGACTATATCTAGGGGTTCCCCTCACATCTTATAAGCTCAATGATTTAAGCTTTTTGGCATTCTACTACTTCTGGCTTTGTGAGTTTCAATCCGTATAATCTGCTCTGTTGTATCTTATATTTTTAATCCATTTTCTTCTCAATACGTCTATGAGTTTCTGCAGCCGACTGCACAGCTGCCTCCATTTTGAAATGAGCTCCTGTGAATCCATTTTATGTCTGACATTAACTTTTTAGCCAATGCGCGTTCTTTATATTCTTTTCAAATATCCTCTTCACTACTCTGTGAACATAAAAGTTGACAAATTAACCGAACGGAGGCACTGTTCAAGTCGTAAATAAACTTTATTCACTAAATTCTATTTACTTGCCGGTTATCAGCAAAAGTTCTTAAAGTTTTTTTTTTTTTAATTTGTTTATTTTTTATTTACAATTTTTAAGTAAAATTAGAGACATGTAGTATGCTCAAATAAAATGTATCTTTGCATTTTGGGCAACTCCAGAAGCAGTTCAGCCCAACAGCTTGCAAACAACAACAGCTAACAATCAGGACAATAAAACAGTAGACGAAAGGAAATGTAGTCGAAGCTTGTTCCTCTTTGTTTTGGTCTACAGCTTATGTTCTTAAGCTGCTCTTCTCCCTCTCTTCTCACTCAGTGCTGCTGATGTTGTTATTGTTGTGGCTATACCTGTGCTTCATAAAGTCATGTTTTCTTCTTTTCCATCCCTTCTGATTATACTTCCCCTTGCCCTACACAGTGCATTATTCTTGAATAGTTTCGCTGTTTATTGTCCGATTCTGGCTCATGTTTACTATAGGAAATTTGGTGTACCTATCTCGAATAGTAGTCGACTTATGCTTAAAAGACAATGTTTAAAAATCTGTGCTATCCAATTAACTCATTCTACTCATGATCTACAAATATGTTTATCTCAAAGTTCAAGTCTCTAACCTTCGGAAAACTCTCAAAAGGCTTTGCGATATATTGTCAAAGCTATGTTTTGAAATTATTTCAAGCACTTCTAGATTTTTTTAAATTTTTTCTCCAAGCTATGGCAGTTCAATTTACACTAGTTCCTTTCCTTTGATATACAAGTTTTGAAGTTTGAGGACTTCGAAAGATTCCCTCAAATAAGTTTGGGGTTCCATGACTGGAACAAATCTCGTAACCTTTCACAAGCAAGCGCATAATTTAATGAGTTCTGTGAACTGATCCAAGCTATTCGGTATTTAAGGAGATTCACATTCGACTTTAATTTGTTTGAATATTTCATAAATGTATTGATGTAAAGCTTTTACCAATGTATGTGTGTATAGTCATTAAATTATTGCCGATTTATTTATTTATGTGTGTTTGAAGCGCGTTTACTTGCTTGAAGCGTGTTTACATGCTAGCGCTTTGACAAGAACTAAATAAACGGTCGGGGAATAAATTGCATAAGTCGGTAAAAAGCCGGAGAGAGGGCGATAGAATAAAAGAGAACGAGAGAAAATGGAATGAGAGTAAGAGAGAAAAAGAGAGCTATCTCTTAGAGAAAGTGAAATATAGAATTAGATACAGTTGGTTGCAAGCAACTTCAATATAAGTACTTTCTTGTTATACCCTTCTTAAAGTTCTTTAATTTTGTCATTAAATGTGTAATGCGCCGGATAGTAGGATGATCCGGCCGGTTCCGGCATATGAATTCCAGAAACAGAAAGACGGAAATATGTAAATATTCATTGGCATAGCTTCAAAGCCGAAAGAAAGCATAGCTACAGACATTCCACCGTGTGCAATAACTATCTCCAAGTAAATTGATTTTTGTTTTATTTTTGCACAGTGTACGCTGGAGAGAAGTTGTTGTCTCAGCCAATGGCATGCGAGCAGCTATGTTTGTATGTGTAAATTATGCATGCATGAGCACAAACATATGTGAATACAAATTGGGTGTAGATCATGGTTAGAGCAAGAAAGCTAACAAAGTTAGTTTATTTGGCAGCAAAAGCCACTGCAGTGAATAGCAACACATACAAATATGCTTTGATGTTTGTATGTATGTATATACACACACACACACATTGCGCTATTTAAGATGCGAGAGCGCAAAGGTAGCGATTTTGTTTTCTTTCTCAATTTTGTGACAATCAAGAGCTTAGTAGCATTTTGTCGTTTGACCTTACTCGCCTTAGTATTTTTATTGACATTGCATGGCGTATGCGCAATGTGAGAACACTTGTTGCTGTGACGGCGCTTGAAGACACAGAACAAACTGACAAACGGACAAAGGGAAAAGCAGACAGGGAGACAAATAGACAGGGAGACAAACAGACAGAGAGACAGTTGGTTAAACAGACTGAACACTGACCTAGTTGACAACAAATGGCAAATGTCAAAGGCGCGTCCTCGAAGACGCGTCCTTGTCCTCTCGGCGGCTGTTTGCATCCCCGCATAGTACTGCATACTTTGCGGCGCCTTTATACACACACACACACACACACACATAAAAAGACACACACATAGACACATATGTACTTTTAGAGCACACAAACATGCTCATATGTATGCATATCTGGCTGATATTATGGCCATTTTACTAATTAATATATATATTCATTCGGTCTCTGCTTCTGTTTCTTTTCTCTCTTATATTTCTTGGCTTCGGCAGTCGCGTCGGCAGTCGGTCAGCTTTACAGCGATGCCGCCGGGCGTTCTAGTCAACGATAGCCGGGCCAATTCCACCGATGACATACAAATCGCTCTGGCGCCCCATATCCAAACCTATCTAAGTCAAACCGGACGCCGGCACTCCTGCTGCAGCGTCATGCTGCCGGTGGCCTTCGAGCGAGCCGCCGCCAAATCATGGCTGGATCCAAAATTCGATTCACCCGTTCTCGAGGAGCAGTTCCAGGCCAGCGTCTTTCCGCACATACGCATGCGATACAGGTGAGTGCGATTTAGGTGCATGCCACAACAAATCGTGAGTGCATCAATGAATAACTGAAAGTGTTTCTAATGATAATAAAAACTATAATGTGGACATTTGAGTGGCTTTCTAATTTAATTTAATTTACTTTGATTTCTGTAATAACAGTAAAAAATAATTCATCACGCTGAAAGCTTTTATAGCAGTTTTTAGTGATGTTTATGGCTGCAAGTGTTGCAAACAAAAAAGAATTGTCTAATGCTCGACTTGGAGATACTCTACGAGAGCTCCAAGCTAGCCAAGTTTCTTTCAAACATGCAAACAAAAACATGTGAGACAAAAACAGGATATATTGAAACAGCTCCGAACCCAGAAAGCGTACTTTGAGATTTAGATAAATTCGGGTACTATATTTAACCCAAAAAAGTCTTATAGAGATCGAACTATAAACAGCGCAGCTATGCCAGAAGTGTCAAAGTGGGTTACGATAGCTCACAGTTGGGTCAGGGTATTTCCTAGTCATGTACTCTTTACTATAGAGCTCTTACGACGACCCACCAGTTGTATTTCTCCATTTGCACAATATGAATAGCATTTGTTTAAATTTTGCATTAAACAATGCTTTATATATTGGTAAATAAATATTTCATGATGAATACTTTTAATTAAGTGAATTACTTATATTACTGAGAGATCATCAAAATTACTGCAATACATCAAGGCTGATATACGGTTTTGAATCGAACCAAGTTTAACCAACTGCCTCAACTGAACTTTAGCTAAACAAAATACATATATATATATATAATTAAGTTTTACACGTTAGGTTACTATAAAAAAATATATTTCAATTTATTATTTTCACTTAACGGCTACTTTTGTTGAGTACATTCAGATTTGCTTCCCGAATATGAACTGATTTATCTAACTGTTGCGGTCGCTTAGCAAACTTCGCTTTGAGAGAGTTTGAGTCAAAATTGAGTGAAGTTTGAGCTGCGTCAGCAATTATGCGTGGGATAGTACTCTGATGGGAACATTGACAGTGGCGTGATATTTAGGGTGAATTGTTTATGTCTACCAAAGGGGGACAGTTTGATCTTGACCAATGTCGATGTTATCACCAGGCTCTTTGTTTACAATATTAGAAATGTTTATAATTGTGCTTATGCTTATGTGCTAAGTTATGTTAAAGGGTGGGTGCGACTATGGATATGTCACTCCCCCAACCATTAGAAAAGTGCCTGTCCTCAGGTGTTTAAGTTTGGATATAGTGTAACATTTTCTTCTTTTACAATTGGTATATCTCCTATTATTGTAGGTGTTTCTTCTACTTTGGGTTTTTTATATTTTATAATTAATTTCTTAGGTATGCTTTTGAACTTATATGTCAAATACAGTGTTAAACTTATTAATATGATTACAAATATGGTTATTGTAATTATCTGGAATACATTGTTAAATTTTGTATGTGCATTTATAATTTGTTTCGTTTGTACAAACGAAAGTGGTTCTAATTTTATAACATCATTGCTTACGTAAATGCTTTGAGTATAATCTAACATATTGTTTGAAATTGAAATTTCATTAATTTGCAATGAACAATTAAAGATTTTTATTATATTGTTTCCTTCTATTGTTATTTCGTTATTTATACAATTATGGTTTAATATAGTTTTTGGTAAATTCCAAGTTAAAATTATATTTGGTTCTATGTAGTTGATTTGAAAATTTTGCAAAATTTTAGTATAACTACATTCTGATGTTATTTGGTTTAAAATTCCTGTTAAACATTCATTATTAATTAATTTTTTTGTTTCTCTGCTATAAACTTTTTTATCTTGGGTAAAATATTTTTCATGAGCTATTTCTGTCAAAATATTATTATTTTCATCCGGGTATGGAATTATTTCGAATACCGGGCTTTTTATTATTTCTCGAGGAATATGGGATATTATCAGTATTTCGTTTGTATCTGATTTAAACCAAGTGGAAGTTTTTGTATTCAACAATTTCTCAGAATTAACATGCAACAAATAGTCATGTTTTAGTAATTTTGGGTTAAAAATTCCTAATCTTGTGAGCTGCATTCCCATCTCAATGTCTTCTATATATTCTGTAAAGTGTTGTAAGTTAAATATAAGGATATCTAATTTCTTTCCTTTTTGTTTCTCTTGATCTAGTTCGTTCATGATTTCTATTCCTTTGTTTATAGCTTCTATTATATAATTTAATTCGTTAACCTGGACGCTGTTTTCTGCTAAGTTGCTTATTTTTTGTTCAATTTCTGCTTTGTCTTCTTGATCTAATGTTCCAAATAAGTATTTATATGCTGTTCCTACTATGTTAACTAAACCTCTTTTGCTGCGTTTGGCTATTTTTAAGCCGTTTATTTCTCTGTTTAATTTTTCTACTAGGTATTCGATTTGTATAAGGTTATTGAATTCTTTACTTTGTTCAATTAAATTGTTAAAAGTTTCTTCGGTTTTTGTTATATTAACCGTTAAACAGTGGAATTCGTAATCTGTCGGAATGTCTATGGTTCCTGTTTTAAATATGAGATATCCGTTATGGGCTTTGATAGGATTAATTTCAATACTCTGTGCATTTATATAGTTTACAGTTATTGATAGTAATATTATAATAATTAATTTAAGCTGGTGCTTGTATGTTTTGATCGCTGTCTGTTGTTGACCTGTAATTGTTATATTTGCTTTGATTAGTCTTCTTTTTCTTTTTGAATTTGGTTTTGTAATGTGTTATTTTCCTGCCTCTGTTAGTTTCCTCAAAATGTTTGTCGTCGATTTGTCTTAGTTCTCCTGTTTTCTTGAACGGGGTTGTCGTCTTTGATTTAACTAACGGTGAGTGTTTGTATCTAGTGTCAATTTCATAATTTGTTCGTTTTTTGTTGAGGTTATTTATTAGTTTTTCTTTATTAGCTTGAGTGTCATACTCTGGTGTACCTGCATATATGAATATGTCCGCTGGTGTTCTGTTAGTCGTTTTGTGCTTTGTTTTATGATTGTACGTGTAGAGTATAGTTTCAAATTTTGTAAGTTTATTTTCGACGTCTGAGTCGCTGTTAATGATTCTTAGTTTTTCGTTAACTGTCTTATGAAATCGTTCTACGTCGGATATACCATTTTTACTAGTGGTTATATTAATATTTACTGCTTCTGATTTTAGCCATAATTGTAAAGCTGTGCACATAAAAGCTGAGTCTTTGTCTGCCTTTATTTCGATGGGTTTACCCATTTGGTTGAACACTTGTAATATAGCTCGTTTGGTTTCTAGCCAGTCTCTACTTTTTATTTCTATTAATGATGCAAATTTTGAATAGATATCAATGCAAGATAAAAATTGTTTATCTCCTACTATGTAAAAATCCATTACATATTTTTCTCGGATATTAGCGATTTCCGGAGTTATTTCGAAAGTTAATTTTGTATCTCTGTGTTCTGTTTTTGCGATGTTGCAAATCTCACATTCATTTATTAGATTTTGAATTAAATTTTGATAATCTGGGAAATAGTGGGTTGCTTTGAACCAATTAATAGTTTTTTCAATTCCTGGATGTAATAATTCTTTGTGCTTTTTTAATATTAATTCTTTGAATTCTGCGTATGTTTGAAGGTCTATTAATTTTGTACTAGTTTTCATTGCCTTTGTTGAATTATTTGGACTTATTATTTCTAAGTAGGCTTCTTGAAAAATTGGAAAATCTGCTTCGTTGTGGAAGTATAGCACACTTTTCTTTGTGCATAAGTATTCTTTTATTAATTCTTTGGCATGCGTATTAGTCATGTCTTTGTACGTAATTTTTATGTTGGTTTTGTGAAAGTAATTCGTAACTTTTGTTTCGTTCTCGGTTCCTTTTTCAAATTCTATTTGTCGATTATAATAATTAAGTGGTCTTTCTGTGATTTGTAAATGGTTACTGTTGTCTTCTTGAGCACTATGTATTGTTGCTCTTGTGCTAATTGTATCTTCGCCTAAGAAGTTTTCGTTTAATTGAATTCTGGACAGAGCATCTGCCACATAATTTTCTTTTCCTGGGACGTATTTAATTTGGAAATCAAACTCATTTAGCTTGATCTTCCACCTTTGTAATTTCATGTTAGGTTCTTTCATATTATTTAACCAGACGAGTGGTCTGTGATCACTAAGGATTTGAAATTGTCGACCAAAGAGATAGGACCTAAAGTATTTAGTGGCCCAAACGATTGCTAATAATTCTTTTTCAATCGTTGAATAATTTAACTCATGCTCGTTGAGAGTTCTACTTGCATAGCATATAGGCTTATGCTCTTGCGAAAGGACGGCCCCTATTGCCATATTACTCGCGTCTGTAGTTAATGAAAATGGTTTTTCGAAGTTAGGGTATATTAAAATTGGGTCGGATGTTATGAGTACTTTTAGCTTTTCAAACGCTAGTTCGTAGTCTCTGTCTTTTATATTGATTTTTGCTCCCTTTTTTAATTTAAGTGTTAATGGTTTTACTATATTAGCGAAATTTGGTATAAATTTCCTATAGAAACCACATAATCCTAGAAATGACTTAATTTCTTTTGGGGTTTTTGGAATTGGGAATTTGACAATTGCTTGTATCTTGTTGGGATTTGGTTTTATACCCTCAGTTGTGATGATGTGACCGAGAAATTCAGTTTCTTTTCTCATAAACTCGCATTTATCCAACTGTAGTTTTAAGTTAGCTTCTCTAAGCTTCTTAAATACCTTTTGTAGCGACAAAATGTGTTCCTCCAATGAAGTGGAAAAAATAATAATGTCGTCTAAGTAGACCAGACAATCTTTAAAAATTAAATCTTCTAAGAGATTGTTCATACAACGTTGGAACGTTGCAGGTGCATTCTTAAGACCAAATGGCATGCGAGTGTACTCGTAATGGCCATGTTTAGTCGAAAATGCGGTCTTGGGAATTGAACCAGGATCCATTTGGATTTGGTGGAAGCCTTTGGCTAGATCAATGGTTGTGAAATATTGACATTTTCCAAGTTTGTCTAAT